ATGACCCTACATGGCAACCCCCTGCAGATCTCACATGCTCATGCACACACACTCAGTATTAGGGTTAATAAATCCAGCAGAGTTGCAAGATATAAAAGCAACACACACGAATCAGTTGCATTTCTACACACTAATGATGAACAATCCAAAAAGGAAATTAAGAAAAATAATGCATTTACAATTACATCTGAAAAATAAAATACTAGGAATAAACTTAGCCAAGGAGGTGAAAGACTTGTACAATACAGATCACAAAACAGTGCTGAAAAAAATTAAAGACACAAATAAAGGGATCCGTGTTCATGGATTGGAAAGTTTATTATTTAAATGTCAAGAATCGGGCCTCCCCGGTGGCGCAGCAGTTGAGCGCTGGGTTGCGAAGCTGCCTGCGGCCTCTGCAGCGCCGGTTCGATCCACAGCTGCTCCCCGGCCACTGGAGGAGGGTTCCACATGGCGCGCAGACCTCTCCTGCCGCCTGCTGCTCCCCTCAGCAGTGTACTTCGGTCCTTCTGCCTGCTCTGCCCCCTGCTCTGGCTCTGGTGAATTCTCTTGCCCTCCCATGCTTCTAACTGTACCCAGTGCTTGTATAAATGAATAAATCATTAAAAAAAAATTTTAAAAAAAATGTCAAGAATCCCCAAAGCCAAGACCTTCCTGGTGGCTCAGGGGTTAGGCTCAGTGCTATCACTGCCATGGCCTGAGCTCAATCTCTGGCCAGGGAGCAACCCACATAGTGCACCAGACCTCTCCTTTCTCACCCGGTGGTCCCCTCAGCAATGTGTATCAGTGAATCTGCCTGTTCTACCCCCCACTCTGTCGCTGGTGAATACCCCTGCACCTCTGGCCTACACCCTAGTTCTTGTATGCACAAATAAATAACAATAAATCTTAAAAAAAAAAAGTGGGGCCTCCCTGGTGGCGCAAGGGGTTAAGTACCGCACCATGAAGCAATCCGCAGCCTCTGCAGCACCAGTTCAATCCCTGGCCGGCCAGGGAGCAACCCACATGGCACAGCAGCCCTCTCCTGACTCGCCCGCTGCTACCCTCAGCAGTGTACATCAGTCAGTCTGCCTGTTCTGCTCCCCACTCTGTCTCTGGTGAATCCTCTCACCCCCTTCATCTCTGGCCTGTACCCCAGCTCTTATATGCATAAATAAATAAATCTTTTAAAAAAAGAAATCCCCAAAGCGGGCCTCCATGGTGGTGCAGCGGTTGAGCGCTGGGTTGAGAAGCTGCGTGCAGCCTCTGCAGTGTCGGTTCAATCCCCGGCTGCTCCCCCGGCCACTGGAGGAGGGTCCCACATGGCGCGCAGACCTCTCCTGCCGCCCGCTGCTCCCCTCAGCAGTGGACTTCGGTCCTTCTGCCTGCTCTGCTCCCTGCTCTGGCTCTGGTGAATTCTCTCGCCCTCCTGCTCTTCTGACTGTACCCAGTGCTTGCGTAAGTAGATAAATAAATAAATCTTAAAAAAAAAAAAAATCCCCAAAGCATCTACAGATTCATTGAAATCTCTATAAATCCTAATGGCATTTTTTTGCAGAAATAGAAAAACCCACCCGAAAATTCATATGGCATTTCAAGGGATCCTGAATAGCCAGAGCAATTTTGAAAATGAACAACAAATGTTGAGTGCTCACTTCTGATTTCAAAACAGATGATGAAGCAACAGCAATCAAAACAGTGTGGCACCGGCATGAAGAGAGACCAGCAGGGTGAATAGGGACCCCAGAAACTAGCCCTCACACATGGGATCACATGGTTTTTGGTGAGGTGCCAAGACCATTCAGAGGGAGAAAGGATGATTGTCCATCAATGATTCTGCAAACAGTGGACACCCACACAGACCCTGACCTAACATCATACACCAAAAATTAACTCAAAATGGACCAAAAACCAAAACGAAAGACTTCAACATTTTTCATCTTTGAGTTGACCTGTCCTCTGGAGGAGAGTCACTGGCCCTTTCTGTACCTGAGCAGAAGGAATCACACAAGGACATAAGTAGCAGAAGGGGGGGGGTCATAGGGACCCCAATGAGATTGCCCACCACAAAGTGACTCTTCAAGAGCCAAGAGGGAAAGGACAGGTCCCACCGTTTTTAAAGGTGGCATTTCTTGGAAGAGGAAATCAACATCATTTTAAACCTCCAAAAGATTTCTCAACGTGGGCCTCCATGGTGGCTCAGTGCATTGAGCACAGCGCTGTGAGGCTGTCCGCAGCCTCTGCAGCACAGGTTCAATTCCCGGCCGGCCAGGGAGATACCCACCTGGCACAGACCTCTCCTGTCCTGCCCGCTGCTCCCCTCAGCAGTGTACTTTGCTCTATCTGCCTGTTCTGCTCCCCGCTCTGTCTCTGGTGAATCCTCTTACCCCCCACACCTCTGGCCTGTACCCCAGCTCTTGTATAAATAAAATCTTTAAAATAAAACACACACACACACAAGATTTCTCAATGCCACCAGCAATCTGAGTGACACAAATTGAAGGCATAACACATTGATCACAAGGAAACAACCTCTCAGCCCTGGATATGGGGTCCGGGACCAGGGCCTAGGGAGCAGGGGGCCAGGGGCTGAGAGGCCGAGGCTCACATTTCCTGCTGCCCATGTGGACGTTATCAGCACTGCAAACACACCCACGTGTCCAGGCATGCTGAGCCTGCCCACAGCCTTCTGCCAGTGTCCAGTGCCAAGGGCTTGGGTGCTGACACCATTCGCTAGCTCACACAGGGGATGGCCAATCTCTTGAACCCCGGCTGGGCACAGCGCTCGGGCATGTTGGCCCTCGGCCACATGGTTACATTTGCTGTTTGCAAGTGCACTTCTGTAGGCCTCACTGGACTCCGGAGGGGCCTCAGGCCACTTGTGTGCAACAGAGAGACGTGAGAACCGCGGGAAGAGAAGGGAACTAGTGAGTCCTCCAGGCGTACGTGATGCGTGCGTGAGTGTACACCCCAGACCGTCACTTGGGACCAGCGCTCGAGACCCCGGGACTGGACCACATGGCCTGATCACTCCGCAGCTGACCAGCCAGGACCCGGCCCCCCAAGTGGAAGCTTGGACCTGAGCGGGCATGCCCAAGTGGCCCAAGGAGTCTGTAGGAGGGGGCAACTCTGGACAGACAGCTGAGGATGGAAAGTGCTTCCCAGCCCCTTCCTGCTCCCCACTGTTGGAAATGTCCCAGGGAGAAATGAGGGCCCCTGAACTCCTGAATGGGCATGAGCAGCAGACACTGCCAGGAGGGACACCTCCCCCCACCATGTGCCCCTGTCCCAGGGAGAGGGAGAGGCGGCAGGGAGGCCTAGCCTGCCCTTGTCTGCGATGGGCTGGCCGCCAGGCACCTGTTGCTTCTTATCTATTTTCTTTTTTTTTTTTTAAGATTTATTTATTTATTTATTTATACAAACACTGGGTACAGTCAGAAGCGCGGGAGGGTGAGAGAATTCACCAGAGCCAGAGCGGGGAGCAGAGCAGGCAGAAGGACCGAAGGACACTGCTGAGGGGAGCAGCGGGCGGCAGGAGAGGTCTGCGCGCCATGCAGGACCCTCGCCCAGTGGCCGGGGATCGAACTGGCACTGCAGAGGCTGCAGGCAGCTTCACAACCCAGTGCTCAACCACTGCACCACCAGGGGAGGCCCCTGTTCTTATCTATTTTCTATCTTATGTTAAAATAAGAGCCATCCAGGGCCTCCCCGGTGGCTCAGCGGTTGAGCACTGGGTTGTGAAGCTGCCCGCAGCCTCTGCAGTGCCATTTCGATCCCCGGCCGCTGGGCGAGGGTCCCACATGGGCGAGGGTCCCGCATGGCGCGCAGACCTCTCCTGCCGCCCGCTGCTCCCCTCAGCAGTGGACTTCGGTCCTTCTGCCTGCTCTGCTCCCCGCTCTGGCTCTGGTGAATCCTCTCACCCTCCCGTGCTTCTGACTGTGCCCAGTGCTTGTATAAGTAAATAAATAAATCTTTAACCAAAAAAAAATTTTTTTTTTAATAAATAAGAGCCATCCTTCTGGTCAGACATCACCTACAATAAAACTCCCGTGTCACCGCCCCTTGTGGATGACTTTTTGTTCCCCTAAGGGACGAGTCTGCACACAGGCAGAGTTCTGAGCTCTAGAAGCTTTCAGGATGTTAAGGAGACGGAGCTGGGTTTCTAAACCTGAAGAACTAGTGATAGTGGACAAGGTTAAGAGGTTAACCTGTGCCCACACATCAGCAAGTCACAGAAAACACCATTTTTTAAAAGAACACTAGTAGTTTTAAGCCCCCCCAAGATAAATCCCGTATCATTTCGTGAAAACTGAACAGAGTCCACGGTGCTTTGCTCCTCCCCAGCACAGGGTCAGCATCGCCCGCGGGTGGGCAGGAGGGGAACTCTCCCGAGGGCTGGGCTCTGCTTTAAACAAACACGCAGCGGCGGGCCCTCTCCTTCCAGGTACCCACGCGTCCTGGAAAAGAACTGAAAACCAAGAGAAAGGCCATGGAAACCTCAGGAACTGGAGCTTTGCACGCGAGGAAGGCAAACAGGAAAACCACCCACTTCTAAAGCAGTTTTATTGTCACTCAATTCAGACACAGAAAGCGACTAGACGCGGATGGCAGAGTCGGGCTGGAGCTGGGGGACCCACGCCGCGCCGCAGCACCCCCCACGTGGCGGCATGCCAGCGCGCGCTTAGACACAGGCGGGGGGCTTGTCGCCGCCCCAGCTGCCAGGGCGGCCAGCGCAGGGGCCCCGCGGCGGGGGTTCAGCCCGTCAGTTCCTCAGTCGGGCTCACACGTCGGATGCCACTTGGAAGGTTTGGTAATAAAACACCCCGCCATCAATTCCACTCCAAGCAAAGCACAGTCCTCGCGCCACACCAGAAAGCAGCGGGCTCTGAACTTCTTCTTACGTCGTCAGATGCAAAAAAGCTGCAAGGTTCCCCCCAATTGCTGAGATCTGCAGAGAGTCAGGGGCCGCTTCGCGTTGCCGCGCACCAGGGCCGCGGCCGGCGGGCGCCGGGGGGCCCGACGCGCCCGCCCCCCCGCCCCCCCGCGTCAGCCGATGAACCTCTCCGACGGCCAGGTGTCCGGGGGGGCCGGGGGGGCGGCCGGCACCTCCACCACGCGCGGGGCCAGCGCCTCCATCTCGCGCACCACCTGCGTGAACACCTGGTCCACCATCCGTTTGCTCTTGGCCGTGACCTCCAGGAACGGGCACCGCCACTCGCGGGCCAGCGCGCGGCCCCGCGCCGTCAGCACCTGGCGCTCGGCGTCCAGGTCGGCCTTGCTGCCCACCAGCACCAGCGGCACCGGCTTGGGCCCGCGCAGCCGGCCCATGCGCTCCCGCAGCGGCCGCACCGCCTCGAAGGAGGCCTCGCTGCACACGCTGTAGAGCACCACGAAGCCGTCGCTGTTCCTGATGTACAGGTCCTTGAGCGTGACCAGGTGCTCGGCGCCCACCGTGTCCACGATCTCCAGCAGCGCGGGCGCCGCGTTCACCTCGATCACCTTGCTGAAGAGCTCCTCCACCGACGGCTCGCAGCGCTCGGGGAAGCTGCCGCAGGCGAACTGCGTGGCCAGCGCGGTCTTGCCCACGGCCACGCTCCCGAGCAGCACCACGCGGTAGCCCCGGGCGGGCCGCGGCACCAGGCCGGCCATGGCCGCGCGGGCGGAGGTCGGAGCAATGGCGGCGGCGGGCGGGGGCCCGAGGGCGGGGCGGGGCGGACGTGAGGGGCGGCGGCGAGGGGCGGGCGCGCGGGGGCCCCGGAGGGCGGCGGGGGCGGGGGGCGCCGGTCCCCGAGGGCGCCGCGACCCGCTCCCCCGGTCCGGCTGCGCCCCGGGCTCCGCTCACCCGCGGCCGAGCCCCGCCGCGCGCCCCGCGCGCCCCCAGCCCCGCGCCCCCGCGCCCCGCAGCCCCGCGCCCCAGGCCCGGCCCCGCCCCGGCCCGGCCGGCCCCGCCCCGGCCCCTCGCCGGCCCCTCGCCGGCCCCGCTCCCCGCCCCCCAGGGGCGCCCGCGGCCTGCGCGCCTGGAATCTGCGCCGTCCACGTCGGCCGGGGGAAGGCGGGGGGCGCTCCTCCGCCGCCGCAGGGGCGCCAGGCTGGGCCCCCGGGTCGGGGCCGGCTGGGCCGGGCCGCCGGGGCCCCTGTCGGAGCGGGGGGGCCCTGCCTGCCCGGCCCCTCGTGGCTGAGGCGAGGCCAGGGTCGGTCACGCCCGCCCCCCTCGAGCCCTCCGTCTGCCGCCCCCAAATGAAGCGCGACCTCAACCCCGCCGCCCACGCCGCTCGCTGGACCGAGAAGGCGCCCGCCGCCCTCCCGCGGAGGCCCCGGTCCCCAGGCTTCTGCGCCCCGGCACAGCCTCTTGCCGGCGCTGGCCGGGGCCGGGCGAGGGGCGCGAGAGAGCTGGGCCCCAGTGCCCCCCGCCCCACAGCCGTGGGGGGACAGCCCCGCGCTGACTGGGCCTCTGGCAGCTCAGGCTCAGGGGTAACAGCCCCTGCCCAGCCCCCGGCTTTGCCACCAACCCTAAAAGCGTCCCCCGCGGTGATGACCGTGACACACGCCCTCTGGGGAGGGGCAGGTGCCGCCCAGCTGTTATAGAGCAACCCCGATATTAAACGGGTTCCTGGCTGTGGGTCCTCACCCGCGCGCTTTAAAGGGACTTATGAATACTCCACTACAGACACACGCCAAAGGGTTAATAAAAGGTTTATTTACAAGAGAAAAAGAAATAAGGAAAAGGTACAACTCAGGGAGAAAATAGGGAAATAAAGTCTTTAATGCGTCCTACCCGATCCGACGACCTGGAAACCCAAAGTCACTCTCAGAGCTGGCTGGACGCTGCAGCTGGCCGAGGGCCCCAAAATGGAGAGAGCCCCAAAGCCCACGTGTCTGCCTTTTGTATCCACCTGGCTGCTGAACCCCACCCTCAGGTCCCAGACACCTTCCCTTTAGTGGTGATGGGATGTGGAGTTCCCAGTGTCTTTGGCTTTGACCTGGGGGGGGGTGGAGTCCACAAAGCCTGTATGGAATTTGCTTTGGGGCAGCCTTTTCCCCTAGGCCCGGCGGGGCCCCTGGGCCACTCTCGAGGGACACAGGCGACCCGCTTTCCTCCAGGCCACCAGGACAAAGCGCCTGTGGGGCCCACGGGCACAGCTACGAGACTGCCCCGAAGCTGCCAGGTGGCGTGTCAGCCACAGGGGACTGTTTTGAGCTTTAAGGCGCTTTTTAAAAGCAGCTTGAAATTGTGCGCAAGGAGAAAGAGGCAACAACGGTGTGGTCAAGCCGTTTGAGATCCCTGAAAGAAAAGAGCCTTCTGGAAACGAGAACTACAATTTGCCGTCCTAGTGAACACAAACACCCGCGCTGGGCCCAGCAGCAGCCGGGACGTGGCCGAGGAGGGGAGACACACAGGACTGGCCCCGCCGGACGGGCCCCGCCTGCCGCCCAGGCCTCAGACTTCCGTGGTGCACATCCAGGCCTAGGTGCCCGCCTAAGAGACCCAAACGAAGCCGACGCACGTGCTCGCGCCAGTCACAAGGCGGCCCAGAAGCCCCCACCACACAAACGGCGCATCTCCCCCACTGCCCAGGCGCCTGTCCATTCCGAGTCCAGGCGACTTGCCCAGGCCCAGGCACCCCCAACCCCCAGCATGAGGGTCCTCCAGCTGGCCTGCCCCAGAGTCCTGCCCTGAAGTTGGTGAAGTAGCACGAACTCCAACTCCGATTCCTCCCGAAAGCAGAATCTATAACTGGGACATGGTCTTGTGTGCAGATGCAATAGTGTATCTTTGGAAATGGTCTCAGGGGTCACCGACAGGTCCTGGGAACCGGAGCAGGGGAGGGGGAGCCGCGTCAGGGAGCCCACCTTGGGCAGCTGACCCGCACACAGCGGCCAGCCAGCCGCCGCCCTCGCTCCAGGGCCGCTGTGCACACTCCCCTCTCCCAGCTCACCCCAGGCCTGTGTGGCCAGGAGGCCGAGCTGCAGGGGCACCCTGTGGTGGAGACAGCGCGGGCGCGGGGCCAGTGGGACGTGGTCCATGCCAGGAGGGCGAGGATGGTGGCCTGCCCGGTTAGGGAATACCCGACAGGGCACAGTATCTGCAAACCGTCATGCGTGTGGCTGGTGTCCTTTCTCGGCTTACTGCAGCCCTGGGCTCCCAGGGTGACTGCTGCACCGCAGCAGGGGTCGCTGGCACCTGCTCTGATGAGCAGAGGGGCCTGTACCTGCACCGTCCCGGGCTGCCTGTTAGTCTACGGGTACCTTACAGGTTCTCTTGGAAACATCTCCTCGGCTTTTCAGTCTCTGATAAGCTCCACAGGATTTTCTCCTCCAATTTTTGCTTCTCCCTGGTGAGGAAGCCTTCTGCTTCTCACCTCTGCTCCCGCACGCTCCCCCGCCTGCCGGCACACGCCCTGTTCCTGCAGGCGCCTGTGTGGCCCACCCCATTCCACTCAATGCTCACTCTTGCTCGTGTGACTTCCATAAAGGGGTCTCCCCCAGTTCCTGTGTTGAAGTCTGTGGCGCCACCGTCCCAGGCCGGGCAAGTTCATGGTTGATTTGGACAAATGGAAAAAGGATCTGGGAGCCTGCGGAGTATCTGCCAGGCCTTGGTGCTGAAGCAGGGACCAGGCACCGCCAGACCAGCAGGCGGGGAGGCCAGCAGGCAGCACCCAAGCCCCCAGCCCCCGCGAGCTTCTGCCTCTTGGCCCAGGCATCTGCATGTCAGAGCTGCGCGTCCCCGGCTTGAGCTCCCAGGCGCCTCCTGCAATAACAGCCGTCACGCGTGGCAGCGAGACCTGGGAGGAAACGTCACAGGTGGCGGCAGAGGCTGGTGGCGGGAGGCAAAAAAGAGCCTGAGTTACCCCATGTTCCTTTCTTTAAAAAATGTTTTTATTTATTTTTGCATAGAAGAGCTGGGGTGCAGGCCAAAGATGCAGGGGGTGAGAGAACTCCCCAGAGACAGAGTGGGGAGCAGAACAGGCAGATCTACTGAAATCCACTGCTAAGGGGAGCAGTGGGGAGACAGGAGGGGCCTGCTACCCCCTGTGGGTCAGCTCTCTGGCCAGGGATCGAACTTGTGCTGCAGTGGCTGGCAGCTAGCCTAGTCCTGGACCCCAGGGGCTCACCTGCCCAGCGGGGGGCAACCCCCCATTGGGAGCACCCCTGAAATTCATGCCCAGGAACTGAGGTAGCAAACATCACACCAAGTTCCAGGTGCCCCCACCCATCTCCTGGCCTGCCCCTCACCGAGGCCAGGGAGCCAGCGAGCCTTTGACCCCAGGCCGGAGAGTGTCTTCCCAGTAGGGGGAGCTGCACTTTGCCAGCGGCACTCCCTGGAAGGTGGCAGCTGCCGCAGCATCTGCAGGGAACAGCTGGGCAACCCCCCTGGGAGCCGCTAACACGGGTCACGCACTGGCTACGGCCACCCCAGAACAAGCCAGCAGTCCGTCTGCCGCAGGGCGAGCCAGGCGGGCAGGGCCGGCAGCCGGAAGCCACCACACCCGACCACACGGAAGGTGACACACTGGAAAGGACCGTCTGGTTAGAAACTCTGCGTGAAATCTGACAAACCCTTTCTCCCGAAGCTGCAACTGCGGAAAAAGGAAATCCCCCAAACAGAGAAGTTGCTGGAAATCAGTTCAGTAAGTGGCAGAGACAGTGGCTGCCCCTGGAATCTGCCCAGAGGCTCTGGGGACAGAGGAGGCTGGGAGCCCACTGAGTTCCCAGATGGGGCCGGGGCCTCTCCGTGCTGCAGGGAGGGGACGCTGAGGGCGCAGGCCGCCGGAGGGGCCGACCCGCCCTGCCCACGGCGCTCCAGGACCGAACTCCCAGCAGGACTCCAGCAGGACTGGTGCTCAGCCAGGGGCTGGGGTCGAAACTGAGCACCCCTTGGCGGTGCTAAAGCAGCAGAGAACCCGGTGACGGGCGGCGGGGCGGCCCCCAAGAGCCCAGCTGCAACAGAGGCGGCTTCTCCACGGACACCGCCCGGCCCGGGCCTCCTCTCGCAGATACGCTGACCGCCCAGGGCACGGGCCGGGGCGGGAGCCAGCACCACGGCGGGCACCGGCTGCGCCCGGCCAGCGTCACACAGCGATACTCCCGAGAACTCGCAGCAAATGCGCCGTGGAGACGACCAGAGCCTGGACTGGAGGGCGGGAGGCAAAGGGGAAACGGAATTAAAATGCGGCCTTTGCAAGTGAGGGCCGCAGAGCGGGCAGGGACCCGTCTGTAACTAGAGTTCCGATCTGGGGGGCCCCGGGGCTCCTGGCCTACCCCCTTGCTGCCCGTGGACATTCAGCTCAGGCCCACACACTGGCCCCAGTGCCCCGGACAGCCCAGCCCGGGCCGCTGCCGCCTCGGGTCCCCCTGCAGCTGCTGACCAGGGGCTGGGAGGGGCTGCCGGCCACGCTTTCCTGTCAGGCCAGCGCCGGCGGACAGCCCGGGGGGCACCGCCTGAGTTTGCTGGTGACCGAGATGCGCGCCAAGCCCAGACGAGGTGCTGCTGGACGCGGGCTGGGGCGGAGGCTGTGACCTGACATTGGCTGGTGGCCCCCGAGGGTCCCCCAAGCCAGAGGCCAGGGCCAGGGCCGCCAGCGCTGGGGAGGCAGGGGTCCCCCGCATGGCCGCTCTGCCACCCGCGCTTTCCCGCCAGCTGTGCCGACCTCCTGCT